TATTTGGGTGGTAGCTTCTACCATACTTTGTTAATTTGTTCCACTTGCTATTGAGCGTATCTTGTGCGACCTTGAGACTTTGCTTCTGTTTCTTCAGGCTTCTCGCTGTGGCAGTAAGCCTTCTGCGGAGGTTCTCTTGCTCCAAGTGTGTTTCTGGGATGATGGGTGCATCATCGTCCGGACTGTTTTCTGCCCTAGATGGGGATTGATGATGCTTATCTTTGGCGTCATCGTGTTCGGACGTCGGATTCGTACTATGTTTGTTGTTTGCATCTTGATCGTCTTCTACAACCGGGGTGGTGCAGTTGTCGTCTTTGCCGGAGTCGTGTGGACTATTGTTATCGCTGCTTTTGCTATGGTGGTACTTAGGGCGGCGGCGCTGACGTTAGCGCTTGGGTTGCTTCTTGGAGGGGTCATCCTCTGCTTTCTCATCGCCATTGGCTTTGTTGGGGGTGTCCACCATGTACACATCATGTGATGAAGTAGTGGTCCAGCGCCCTCTGGGCGGTGGTTCCGGTTCGTCTCTGGCTTCGTCGTCCATACCGTCGACGTCCTCGGAGCCGAAGTCGAGCATGTCGGTTAAGTCGTCGACAGTGGCTACTAAGTGGGTGGTGGGTGGGCGGCGAATTTCTTCGTCGTCCGCATCCCATTCTAGCCGGACATAGTTCGGCCAAGGTTCTCCTGACAGGGAGAGAGACCTTAATGAATTTAGGACATCTCCAAAAGGTGAGTGCTAAAAGATATCCGCGGAGCTGAACTCCATGATCGGCGCCCAGTCGGACTCGACGGGCACAGATTTAACGGCTCGGAGTCCGTGGCCGAGGATGAATCCAGTGGTTCGGCAACACGGCTCTCGTAAGGGGTGAAGTTAGTATCCGGCTCTATCGCCGCTGAGAGTGCGGCCTCTATGGCGGGGTCCATCCCTCCGCTCTCGGATGGTGCGACTTGCTCCAGATTAAGGGCCGGAGTAGCTGCAGATGCGATCTCCCGAACACTGTCCGACGATAGAGTTATGTCTTGCTCGTCGTGACTGCGCGGCACGTCCGGCATGGGCTTGAATCCGCCGAAGATCAAATCTCCGCAGATATCGGCTGTGTAGTTCAAGTTTCCAATCTGATCTGATGGCCAGGAGCGTAGCTCTCAATCTGCTCCAGATGGCCAAGCGAGTTGGCCCGCAGTGCGGAGCAGTCGAATACAAAGATCTGTCCAGGGAGAAAAGTCTCACCCTAGACTGCTTCATTATCGATGATTGATGGAGCCATCAAGCCTAACGATGACGACACAGAGGAACTCTCAATGAAAGCACCAATGTCGATATTAAAACCAGCGGATCCCAGGTAGGGGGTCCCGAACTGTGCGTCTAGGCGGATGGTAACAGGAGGCAGGGGACATGATGTTTACCCAGGCTCGGGCCCTCTTGATGGAGGTAATACCCTACGTCCTGCTTGATTGTTCTTGATAATATGAGTAGTGCAAGAGTTGATCTACCATGAGATCAGAGAGGCTAAACCCTAGAAGCTAGCCTATGGTATGATTGTTGTTATTGGTCCTACAGACTAAACCCTCCGGTTTATATAGACACCGAAGGGGGCTAGGGTTACACAGAGTTGGTTACAAGGAAGGAGATCTACATATCCATACTGCCAAGCTTGCCTTCCACGCCAAGGAGAGTCCTATCCGGACACGGGACGAAGTCTTCAATCTTGTATCTTCATAGTCCAATAGTCCAGCCAAAGGATATAGTCCGGCTGTCCGAATACCCCCTAATCCAGGACTCCCTCAATGCCCAAAAAATATATACATAACTTGGATGGATAACCAAGATTTGTATTAACCAGATATAAAATAAACGATACCTATGATATATCTTCGTTGGCTGACCAACTGTTGGTATAGTAGGAGTGAAAATACCCATCTATAGGGTTGATGACTCCTTTCCCTCTTGCTGGTTCATGTAAAAACCATACCGGGTGATGATTACCACCGGTTTGTTTGTATAATGCTGGTGACCTGTAGCCAAAACCAGACCGGAGCAATTTACGGCCGATTTAGAACAGATCATGTACTGACAACTGAGCGTTGAAAGCCATGTCGGGTTGTAATAAACACCGTTTATCAGAAATATTCATATATCCCCTATCAAAATATACTAAACACAGCAAATCGAAAAGAAATATATAAGGCTTTTCATGGGCTGCCAGGCCCTAAATTGAGGCTTTTCATGGGTTGCCAGGCCGCTGAGTTAAACCATTTTGCAAAGCCTTTTAAGATGGACCTCAATCTTTAGCCACTCACCGTTTTAACTTTGACAAGTTCAGGGTCCATGAGATTGACTTGTCAAACGTTTGATGGGTCATACCAGGTTTACCTGGACGGAGTGGCTTACTTAAAGAAGCAGGATAACCCGGGGTTTTAGGTGAATACACCTGGCTTCCAAGCCTGGCTTGATAGCCTGTTACAAGGGTGCAAGCCCGTTGTTCTTTGAGAAGCAAGGAGCCCCCAGGTAATATTTGAGCTGTGCTCAGTGGTTACCTATGTTTGAGTTGTGCTTGATGCAACAGACTCTCTTTGGTTCCACATAATTTCCTTTTGGTTTTAAGCCTATCAAGAGGTGTAGCTATGGAGTGAAGACAACCAAGCCCCCTAGTGATATCCCTTTTTGGTTTTAAACCGATCAAGAGGTGTAGCTATGGTTCGAATATGACCAAGCCCCCTAGTGATTTCCTTTATATCTGTGTGGCCTTATGAGACGGGTTAATAAAACTCCGCTTTGTCAGTAGAAGCCCCCATGGAACCACACATGATGTAAAAAAGAATAGATACCCCGCTTTAGCCAAGGCTCCGGTTTATTATATAATATATACATTGTCATAAGTATGTACATAAGAAGAGCCTGTGGCTCAAGTATAGTAAGGCCGAAGAAGGGCTATATTCCACGGCCGCTTGGTCTCCTCCTCCGATTTACGTGAGTCTTTGTGCTCTCGAACATCGACAAAGTAGTATGACCCGTTGTGTAGGTTTTTGCTGACCACAAAAGGTCCTTCCCAAGGTGGAGATAACTTGTGCATATCAGTTTGATCCTGGATGAGCCGGAGCACCAGATCACCCTCTTGAAAAGTTCTGGTTTTAACCCGGCGGCTGTGATAACACCGGAGATCTTGTTGATAAATCACCGAACGTGCCGCTGCGAGATCACGCTCCTCATCTAACAGGTCCAATGAGTCTTGACGTGCCTTCTCATTGTCAGCTTCAACGTAAGCCTCCACACGAGGCGAGTCATGACGGATGTCACTAGGAAGAACCGCCTCTGCCCCATAAACCATGAAGAAGGGTGTATAACCCGTCGATCTATTTGGTGTGGTGTTGATACTCAATAACACAGAAGGTAACTCCTCCACCCAACAACCCAGTGTCTTCTTTAGAGGAACCATAAGCTGGGTTTTGATACCTCTCAAAATTTCTTGATTTGCCCTCTCAGCTTGACCATTAGACTAGGGGTGAGCCACTGACGCTATATCAAGCCGGATGTGCTCACGTTGACAAAATTCCTCCATCTCACCTTTAGACAGATTAGTACCATTATCCGTGATAATGTTGTGTGGAAAACCAAACCGGAAGATCACCTTCTTGATGAATTGAACCACCGTGGCTGCATCACACTTACTGACTGGCTCTACCTCTACCCACTTGGTAAACTTGTCATCCGCCATCAACAGGTGGGTCTTTTTTTCCTTGGATCTCTTAAAGGGTCCAACCATATCGAGCCCCCAAGTTGCAAACGGCCAAGTAATTGGAATCATTCTCAACTCCTGAGCCAGAACATGGGCGCGACGTGCAATCTTCTTGTGACGCCCCAAGTCCGGAGCTTCCGATGTCTTCCGTGGTTTCCGGGTTTCGTCGTGTGATTTGTTTGGTTCATTGCATTCATCATTGCATCATGTCATCATGCCATCATGCCATTTCTTTTCTTAACTCAACTAAATAATTGCACGGATCTTCGGTCCATTTAAACCGAGGGAATTCACTTGGTGATTCTCTTTATAACATATCCTCCCGATATTAGGGAGCTATATTAAATATTCCATTTGTTGGAATTAACCGGAACACACTTGCAAAATAATTCCCCATGCCTTTGTCCTATGAATCATCTCCTTCTCCTTTCCTTCTATTTCCTTTCTTTTGCAAGTGCCACTTTCCCCTTCTCTTTTAATGTTCATTCTTTTCCTATAAATTCTCGACCTTGCCTTCAACCTCTCCGTCAAATTTCAGATCCTTTGGAGTTGTTTTGGTTATTAGGTTCAAAAATGCCTCAAGTTTGAATCATATTTAAACTTGTTTTATTTTTCTACCTCTAAAAATATCCAAGGCAATTTTATCAAATAGAGGATAGTTCCAGGAGATTGAGGATATTTTTATATCTGAAAAACTCCTCTTCTAGCTCCTTGGCCTTTTTTCTTTTATTGAAACTGTTTATTTATATAAACAGAGAGTAATGAAAAAGGAAAAAGGCTTTCCTGGGCTGGGCGTCCCCTGCTGCGCCAGCCGCAACCTGTAGCTGGGCCGGCCCATTCGGCCCAAGGCCAAGGCGCAGCCAGCCCCACTGGTTAACCCTAGCCGCCAGGGAGCTCGATCCCTTCCCCTCGCGCCGCCATCTCCCTCCTGCCCATTTCCTTCCATCCCCCCCTCGATCGATCTCACCCACACGCACGCAGTTCCCATGAACCGCTCGATCCCATCTCTCTCCCTCGACCATGTCCTCTGCCGCCGCCTCCTTGGAACCCCACAGCGCCGCGCCCGAGACCTCTCTCTCTCTCTCGAGCCCGATCCCCTCGCTCGCCTCTCTCCTCCTCGATCCGACCCTGTCGTCGCCTCGCTCCTCTCCGCCTTCGCGCCGTGGCAGGAGCCGCCGCCCGAACTCCTCCACCGCGCGCCTTCCCCCATGGCGTGCCACCTCGTCCCTGCCTCTCCACCACCTGCAGGTCACCGGCTTGGCACCATCGTCACGTCGCCGGAAAGCTTCGAGGCGAGCACCGCCTAGAGCTCATCCGCCCGGAGGCGTCCTTCGTCTCGTCTGCGTCGCTGGAGCCCATCCCCAAGTCCCTCGCCTGGCTCCGTTTTTCCCTGCCGTCGCGCCTCTGTTCTGTGTCCTGGTGGAGGAGATGACCAGCAGTCAAGCTCCCCTGTCCCGATTCGTCGACTATGCCTGCATGCACATGTGAGGTTTGTTGCTGTTTGTACCGAAGACCGCGAGTACAACTACGTCCACAACGCGCCGTGTACGACTACAACGTGAACAAGTATCATGACGACATCCGAAGAACTCGGTTTCACCAAGTCCCACTACCGCCGCCTCGGATCCGTCAAGTCCCTCGATGAAAAGTGCATGACTATGTGGATTGTACCAAGTAATCCTTCGGGTTGACGAGATCGGCAAGTGCGAAACACCAAGTACCATGACGACCATCAACATGTACCCCTACACCGCACCGAAACACCAAGTACCTTACCATGACCCCGAACATCCACGGGAACTTGTGTGACTACAAACGTGAACAACTACCCTCGTCGTGGATCTGACAAGTTTGCAAGTACAACTACTTCCTCTACGACCCGCGTGAACAACTACTTCCTCTACCATCGCCGAGTACCACTACTTCCCACGACGATCGTGAACGACTACACTGCTTGACCCGAACCGTTTCGATAATGCACGCTCCGAAAGGTATAACCGCCGAGACGACCGCCCGTGAACTAATGCATGTGTGATGTATGAGATGCTCGTGCTTGCTCCGTGCTCGAATTGTCGATGCACATTGCCCCGCTTTTGCCTTGTTACCGTCATCTCGTGGGACACCTGTTAATCGGGAGCACCCCACCATCTTTTGCACGCATCCGCACACTTCTCCTTTGCATCGGTATCTCAATCGAGTTACCGGAACCAGAACGTTGTTGTGGCACCGTTTCCGTTATCGTCGTCGTGACACCCTTTCTTTCTGCCATGGTGACAGATGCTTCATAATGCTCTTGTCAACTTTTAATAAAAATTGCATAAACTTGTTCATGTCATCCGCATAATGATAACAACAATTAAAATGTTTAAATTGTTGTTTGCATTAAATTACTAATGCATATGGGTATTTACCGGATTTGTTGTTTGTTATATCCGGCCCCATTTAAATTGTTTAGATGGTGTAATTTTGTTATGCCTCACCTCTTGCCACGTTAACCGACATTTAATATTGTAGAATACCTAATCGAGAGAGAACTAAATAATTGATGTGGTGTTTCGTCAATATGCAACCCTTTGCATATTGAGCTCCACTTAATTTGTAATTTTGGTTGTTGCACTTTGCCATGTCATGCATATTTAAACCGGACATGCATCATACTTGATTGTGCATCATGCCATGTTTATGTGGTGGTTGTTTACTATGTTGTTTCCTTCTTTTCGGTGTTGCTTCTTCGGTTTAGTTCCGATAACGTCGTGTTGTGAGGATTCGTTCGACTACGCCGTTTGTCTTCTTCATGGACTCGTTCTTTTTCCTTGCGGGATCTCAGGCAAGATGACCATACCCTCGAAATCACTTCTATATTTGCTTGCTAGATGCTCGCTCTTTTGCTATGCCTATGATACGATACCTACCACTTGCTATATCATGCCTCCCATAGCCATGTTCAGCCTATAACCCACCTTGTCCTAGCAAACCGTTGTTTGACTATGTTACCGCTTTTGCTCAGCCCCTCTTATAGCGTTGCTAGTTGCAGGTGAAGATGGAGTTTGTTCCTTGTTGGAACATGGATATTTGTTGGGATATCACAATATCTCTTATTTAATTAATGCATCTATATACTTGGTAAAGGGTGGAAGGCTCGGCCTTATGCCTGGTGTTTTGTTCCACTCTTGCCGCCCTAGTTTTCGTCATATCGGTGTTAAGTTCCCAGATTTTGTGTTCCTTACACGGTAGGGTTATAATGGGAACCCCTTGACAGTTTGCCTTGAATAAAACTCCTCCAACAATGCCCAACATTGGTTTTACCATTCGCCACCTAGCCTCTTTTTCCCTTGGGTTCCGCGGACTCAAGGGTCATCTTTATTTAAACCCCCGGGCCAGTGCTCCTCTGAGTGTTGGTCCACCTTGTCAGCCGCCGGTGGCCACCAGGGGCAACTCTGGGATTGGCCTACCGGAAGTTTGGACAATCCGGTGTGCCCTGAGAACGAGATATGTGCAGCTCCTATCGGGATTTGTCGGCACATTCGGGTGGTGTTGCTGGACTTGTTTTACCATTTTCAAGATGTCTTGTAACCGGGATGCCGAGTCTGATCGGATTGTCTTGGGAGAAGGAATATCCTTCGTTGACCGTGAGAGCTTGTGATGGGCTAAGTTGGGACACCCCTGCAGGGATTTGAACTTTCAAAAGCCATGCCCGCGGTTATGGGCAGATGGGAATTTGTTAATGTCCGGTTGTAGAAAACCTGAAACTTAACTTAATTAAAATGCATCAACCGCGTGTGTAACCGTGATTGTCTCTTCTCGGCGGAGTCTGGGAAGTGAAGACGGTGTTGGAGTAATGCTTGACGTAGGTTGTTCTAGGATCACTTCTTGATCATAGTTGTTCGACCGTGCTTTGCCTCCTCTTCTCGCTCTCATTTGCGTATTTTAGCCAGCAAATATGCTAGTCGCTTGCTGCAGCTCCACCTCATACCTTTACCTTACATATAAGCTTAAATAGTATTGATCGCGAGGGTGCAAGATTGCTGAGTCCCCGTGTGGGAGTCTTGGATTAGGGGGTCTCCGGACAGCTGGACTATCTCCATTGGCCGGATTGTTAGACTATGAAGATACAAGATTGAAGACTTCGTCTCGTGTCCGGATGGGACTCTCCTTGGCGTGGAAGGCAATCTAGGCAATACGGATATGTATATCTCCTCCTTTGTAACCGACCTTGTGTAACCCTAACCTTTTCGGTGTCTATATAAACCGGAGGGTTTTAGTCCGTAGGATAACATACAGTCAAACCATAGGCTAGCTTCTAGGGTTTAGCCTCTCTGATCTCGTGGTAGATCTACTCTTGTACTACCCATATCATCAATATTAATCAAGCAGGACGTAGGATTTTACCTCCATCAAGAGGGCCCAAACCTGGGTAAAACATTGTGTTCCCTGCCTCCTGTTACCATCCGGCCTAGACGCACAGTTCGGGACCCCCTACCCGAGATCCGCTGGTTTTGACACCGACATTGGTGCTTTCATTGAGAGTTCCTCTGTGTCATCACTGTTAGGCTTGATGGCTCCTACTTTCATCGATAACGATGCAGTCCAGGGTGAGACTTTTCTCCCCGGACAGATCTTCATGTTCGGCGGCTTTGCACTGCGGGCTAATTTGCTTGGCCATCTGGAGCAGATCGAAAGTTACGCCCCTGGCCACCAGGTCAGGTTTGGAAGCTTAAACTACATGGCTGATGTCCGCGGAGACTTGATCTTCGACGGATTCGAGCCTCTGCCTTGTGCGTCACGCGGTCACAATGAGTACGATTTAGCTCTACCATCGGACAATGTTCAGGAGATCGCACCGGCAGCCACTCCGACCCTCAATTCGGAGCCAGTTGCGCCTTCCGCGGATGGGTGGATGGACCCCGCCACGAAGGCCTTACCCTCAGCGGCGATCGGGCCGAACATCGACCTTACCTTGCACGAGAGCCGTGTTGATAAACTACCGGATCCTTCTCCGGCCACGGACTCTGAACCGCCCGCGCCCGTTCCCATCGAATCTGATTGGGCGCCGATCATGGAGTTTACCTCTGCGGATATTTTTCAGCACCCGCCCTTTGGCGACATACTGAACTCGTTAAGGTCTCTCTCCTTATCAGGAGGATCCTGGCCGAACTATGTCCAGCAGGATTGGGATGCGGACGACGAAGAAATTCGCGACCCACCCACCACCCACTTAGTAGCCACTGTCGATGACTTAACCGACATGCTCGACTTCGACTCCGAAGACATCGACGGTATGGACGACGATGCGGGAAACAAAGAGGAACCACTGCCTACGGGTCACTGGACAACCACCTCATCATACGATATATACATGGTGGATACACCCAAAGAAGGCAATGGCGACGAGATAGCGGAGGATGACCCCTCCAAGAAGCAACCCAAGCGCCGATGTCAGCGACGCCGCTCTAAGTCCCGCCAAAGCAAAAGTGGTGATACCGGCACAGGAGGTAATAACACTCCGGATAGTGCCGAAGACAATAACAACCCCCTCCAGCAAGATTTAGAGCAGGAGGATGGAGGAGCCAGCCCTCCTGGGAGAGCGGCAGACGGAGAGGCAGAGGACGATAATTACATACCCCCCTCCGAAGACGAGGCAAGCCTCGGCGACGATGAATTCGCCGTACCAGAGGATCCCGTCGAACAAGAGCGCTTCAAGCGCCGGCTTATGGCCACGGCAAATAGCCTAAAGAAAAAGCAGCAGCAGCTTCTAGCTGATCAAGATCTGCTAGCTGACAGATGGACTGAAGTCCTCACGTCCGAGGAATATAAACTCGAGCGCCCCTCCAAGAGTTACCCAAAATGCAGGTTGCTACCCCGACTGGAGGAAGAAGCGTATGACACAGCTGATCGGCCACCTCATGGCCGCGACAGAGAGGCATTCCAGCCAAAAACTCAGCCCGCACTCCGACGCCATTCAAATAAAAAGGCATGGGGAGATACGCCAGACCTGCGAGACATATTGGAGGACAAAGCAAAGCATGCAAGATCGATCTACGGATCACGAGGGTGCGCCACTATGCGAGACGATAAATGTCACGCCGGATACAGTAAATGTAAATCCGGCCGGACCGGACACAGCGGGCAAGACCCGTACGAGCTACGTCGCGATATAGCCTAATACAGAGGCGCCGCACACCCTTTATGCTTCACAGACGAAGTAATGGATCATCAAATCCCAGAAGGTTTCAAACCTGTAAATATTGAGTCATACGACGGCACTACAGATCCTGCGGTATGGGTCGAGGATTTCCTCCTCCACATCCACATGGCCCGCGGTGATGACTTACACGCCATCAAATACCTCCCACTAAAGCTCAAAGGACCAGCGCGACATTGGCTTAACAGCTTGCCAGCAGATTCCATTAGCTGTTGGGAAGATCTGGAAGCCGCTTTCCTCGACAACTTTCAGGGCACTTATGTGCGACCACCAGATGCCGATGACTTGAGCCACATAATTCAACAGCCAGAAGAGTCGACCAGACAATTCTGGACACGGTTCCTTACAAAGAAAAATCAAATCGTCAGTTGTCCGAATGCAGAGGTCTTAGCGGCTTTCAAACACAACATCCTTGATGAGTGTCTAGCCCGACACCTTGGTCAGGAAAAGCCGAAATCTATGGCAGCCCTCACGATGCTCATGACCCGCTTCTGTGCGGGAGAAGATAGCTGGCTGGCTCGCAGTAACAATATGTCAAAGAACCATGGCACCTCGGATACCAAGGACGGCAATAGTAGGTCACGTCGCAACAAACATAAGCGCCGCATTAACAGCGATAATACTGAGGATACGGCAGTCAATGCTGGATTCAAAGGCTCTAAACCTGGTCAGCGGAAAAAGCCATTCATACAAAGTACGCTGGGCCCATCCAGTTTGGACCGCATACTCGATCGCTCGTGTCAGATACACGGCACACCAGACAAGCCAGCCAATCACACCAACAGGGATTGTTGGGTGTTCAAGCAGGCCGACAAGTTAATTGCCGAAAACAAGGACAAGGGGCCGCATAGCGATGAGCCCCGGCAGCCACACACCGGAGGATAGAAAAGGTTTCCACCACAAGTGCGGACAGTGAACATGATATACGCAACCCACATCCCCAAGAAGGAGCGGAAGCGTGCGCTCAGGGACGTATATGTGTTGGAGACAGTCACCCCAAAGTTCAACCCATGGTCCTCCTGTCCGATCACCTTCGATTGCAGGGACCACCCCACTACTATCCGTCA